CTGCATGCCTTTTCGTAAGTTCATTTGGATTGTGTGTCTTGTTGGGGTGGATGCAGCCAAGGTCATATTATAAGTAAATGCTGCATATAGTTTAAACACAACACTCAGATTTATGCATGAACGTGTACATTTCTATTTTCTACACTGCGGGGTTAGCTGATGTTTATATTTGTTAATACAAAGAATAAATAAATAAAAGTAAGTACACAAGTAAGAAAGATTTTCCCTGATGAAGTTTAAAGCATTAACCAACTCTTTATTAAAACATTCAGTGTTATGGAAAAGACCCATATTGACAGATATTCACAAAATTATAGTCTGTAGGAAATAAGAGGCTATTTTATAATAAAAAATAAATGCATCACGTAACGGTAAGAGTAAAAAAAAACTGTAAGGTTGAAAATTAATTTCTGTATCCAACAAAGCTGTCATGTCACGTAACAAAAATGAACGAGTAGTACACCTTTGGAGTTTTTGTAAGGCGTCATGACCGCTTTGTTGGATACAGAAATTAATTTTCAACCTTACAGTTTTTTTTTTACTCTTACTGTTACGTGATGCATTTATTTTTATTATAAAATAGCCTCTTATTTCCTACAGACTAAATTCCTGCAGACATTGGGTCGTCTCGGGGAGTGATTCGTTCAGTTTGTGTTGTCCGCGCATGCGCAACATCTTATGTGGTCAACAAAAAAAACAAACTAAAACGAATCACTGGTGCATGATACATCACTACAAGCTTCGGATCCTAGCTACTATTTTGAGGTATCTTTACTCCAGTATTTTCATTTTCTGCTAACATACATCGACTTAACTAGGTTAGTTAACATGATGTACACAATAATGCATTATTGATTAAAATCCGGTGATATACCATTCTGAATGCAGAACTTTTACTTGCAACAGAGTATTTTATAGGCTACTTTATTCAACAACAGGAAAACTCGTAGATCCGTAACACCGGCAAGGATTTGTAACCATTGTCCTTATTGAGAATTAACCTAACAATCTATATAGCACCGAATAAAACAGCAAAATAAAGAAAAAGCTAAGCCTAAGTCGGTATAGCTACCACTAACGCCGTTTGTTTACAGCTTGGGTAATGTAGTTCAATAATGGAGACCACGTCGATTAATCACTCTAGACCTCGACATACCAAGAAATACATTAACCAGAAGCCACCGGGGTGCTTGACCCGATCTACGAAAGGTCACGGTTCAAAGTGGCGGATGTAATACCGTAATGATTGTAAAATATATCAGAATCAGAATCTGCTTTATTGGCCATGTGTGTCGGACACACGAGGAATTTGACTCTGGTACATCGGCTGTCCATGTGTATGTACATATCCCCATGCAAGGGGCAAGTAAACAGTAAACCAACACAACGATGTGTAGTATAACAAAATAAACAGTATTAACAAGCAGCAAACTGTGCAAACAATGCAAAATAAACAGGCAGTAAACAATGCAGACAGACAAAGGAATGCTCGTTGTGAAACGAGATAAATAGGAGTAAAAATAACTGAGCTCGAGCTGTTTTGCAAGGAGGAATGGGCAAAAATTTCCGTCTCTCGATGTGCAAAACTGATAGAGACATACCCCAAGTGACTTACAGCTGTAATCGCAGCAAAAGGTGGCGCTACAAAGTATTAACTTAAGGGGGCTGAATAATTTTGCACGCCCAATTTTTCAGTTTTTTATTTGTTAAAAAAGTTTGACATATCCAATAAATTTCGTTCCACTTCATGATTGTGTCCCACTTGTTGTTGATTCTTCGCAAAAAATTACAGTTTTATATCTTTATGTTTGAAGCCTGAAATGTGGCAAAAGGTCGCAAAGTTCAAGGGGGCCGAATACTTTCGCAAGGCACTGTATATTTACAGGTATTGCACTGAGGGTTATTGTCCAGTCATACTGTCCTGGGGCAAGTGTTCATCAGAGTGACAGCCTGGGGGAAGAAACTGTAAACTCACTTGTAATCCTGTTCATTTTAGTGTCCCCGTAGTGTTAATCCTTGTTTGTACCTGTATTAGGTCGTTGCAACGCCGTTTAATATAGAATTCTATTAATCTCACATTGTGATACTGCTGATCTGATTAACATGTTGTGCTGTTGTGTAAAGTTACCTGCAGACATGAAGACATTAAATAATTAACTATGTTTTGTTGACAGTCACACATAATTCATTCAAGCACTTGTTGTTACTTTGCCTCAAGGGAGAACAAATGGAAGCTGATTGAATGAACCTAATTCATTTAATGCTATATGAGGGGAAATTCACATTTCTTTTTCATATTTTTATTTTGCAGGAGTCATGAATTATGCTCGGTTTATGACAGCTGTTAGTGCAGCCAGAAAGCCCTCTGCCATCAGGATACTGAGTGAGTATGCTTGTCTGCTTAAGTGAAGCCTCTTCACAAACCAATCCTAACCTTCTCTGTCTCTACCTGTATGAAGCTGAGCTGCAGCAGAGATCACCTCCGTCCCTGATCTCTTTAGCTGGTGGAGCACCTAACCCTGACACCTTCCCCTTCGAGTCAGCATCCATTAAGATAAAAGATGGGGAAACGGTCACCTTTGATGCAGCTTTGATGAAGAGGGCTCTGCAGTACTCTGCCTCTAGTGGGTGAGGGATAAAGCCATAAATGATTGTTTTATAGATTCATTTGCTTGTTCATGAGTTCTTCCGTTCTGCCAAGGAGCCCAGAACACGAACAGAGGTTTTAAAATGTAATGGGAATTTCAAGAGTACAGGCTCATCAGTGTTGTTGTTTTTGTCAGTTTTGTCTGTGCCGTCCTGAGAGGCGCTACAAGACTTCCTTTACCTAAGGATTTGCTGAGTTTGTTGACTAATCAGTGACAACAGATATACAGCAAGGAGAAGTCTTAACATCTAATGCATACAGAGTATCATACACCTACACATGGTTTCTTTATGTAATTCTTGAGAAAGTTCCTTTTCCATCCCTTTGTAGAATCCCCGAGCTGCTGACGTGGATGAAGAACCTGCAGAAGACACTCCACAACCCACCAACCGCCGGCTACAGCCCTGAGAACGGCCAGATGGACATGTGTGTGACGACGGGGAGCCAGGAGGGGATCTGTAAGGTACTGACACCACCCTCTGCAGCGCTGCTCTTTACCTTCACTCATGCTGCTTGTGCAGCCAGCTGTTGGAGAAGACAGTAGTGTCATTTCTCTTAACGGTCTCTTTAATCCCGAGTTTCTTTCTGGAGTCTTTAACAACTCAAAACATTTTGATGTATAATCATATAACATACAATATTACATAAACCTCTATTTGGTGCAATTTTATAGTCCCCTTCATTCAAAGTGCAAGCCCAGATGATCTGTGTTATATTCATCTCCAGCATGTTTCTCTTTTTTTGTTTTAGCTGTTTGAGATGCTGGTCAACCCTGGAGACAACGTTCTGCTCGACACACCCACATATTCAGGCACACTGGCAGCAGTAGGAGCACTTTCTTTATAACAACCCCAACGCCCAGTAACTGAGGCTGCTGTAAACCCTAATTCCTTTTATTCTGAAGCTCCAGCCTCTTGGTTGCAACATAATCAGCGTTCCCAGCGATCAGCACGGCATCATACCTGCATCCCTGAAGGAGATTCTGTCTCGGTGGGACCCGTCAGAGGTTCACAAACCCGGCAGCACGGCTCCCAGGATCCTCTACACCATCCCCAATGGAGGCAACCCCACCGGTGCATCCATGACGGCTCAGAGGAAGAAGGAAGTGTATGAGGTTTGTTTCTCTGCAGAGTCGACTTGAGTGCATGCCCATATTGCAGATGATATTAATGAATCACTCTGAATCTCAAAGCAGCCTGTGATGCACCAACTTTACTAATTAGAGGTTGTTGTTAAGATGATTTTCCTGCAGTTTCCCATTAACCCCTGGTCTTTTTAATAGCTGGCCAGGCAGTACGACATGCTCATCATCGAGGACGACCCCTACTATTTCCTTCAGTTTGACAAGGTACTCCTCTGTTTCTCAAAGAAATATACTTTTCTCTTATTCAAAAAGCTAAAACAGGTGAGTTGTCTCCTTTCTTATTGCATCATGATTAGATCTTCACACTTTTAAGTGTGATATTTATCAGTGAAGGCCACAGCGTAGTGTGAGTCATGTTATGTCACATCTGTTCAGCAGCCCTGGGCTCCCACATTTCTCTCCATGGACGTTGACGGGAGGATTGTCAGGACGGACTCGTTCTCTAAGGTCTTGTCTTCAGGGTGAGCATCTGAATCACTATGAGTATGTGTAGGTGGCTTGTTATTCTGCTACAGCACAAAAAGATAAAAAAACAAACTAACAGAATAATCATTAGCTGCAGTTTGTGTTCACATGTACAGGGGCTGTATTCTGGCTCACAGGATTAATATTTAAAGTAACATTGGATCAAATATTACACAATTCTGTATGGGAGAGGTTTAATGTACAATGGAAGTTATGAATGTAACTGTGGTTCTGTGAATTCCTGGATGACTACCAGTGGCGTTCAAGAGGGAATGAAAGAGAACTGCACATTTCTTGTCTGTGTGTTGTGATGTTTCAGGCTGAGAATAGGATTTTTAACCGGTCCCAAGCCGCTGGTGGACCAGGTGGTGCTGCACATCCAGGCCTCGACATTGCATACTAGTACCTTCACACAGGTGAATAAAACCTTAATTTTACACCACTGCATCCTTTACCTTTCACTGTCACTGCATCAGTATTTTGCTTTATTTAATTTTTTCTTTTTTTATCCAACAAGAAATAATTGGATGAGGCCTGTTAGGGCTTGTCACACACCCTCACTCTATTCAAACATCAAAACACACATTACTATACACATATACATCTAAGCACATGTAAACCACATATATAATAGTGAACGTGAAAAGAAATGTGTCAGTTATACAACCCTGACTGTGAACACTACTGTGATAATCATCAAATTAACATTTTTTGTGTCCTGTGTGGACACATCTATCTCGGTGGCATCTAAATGCGCCTCAGGAAGCTAAAATTTAGATGCTGTACCAGACAAACCTCCGTGCAGCACACAGCAGGGTGGTTCACTTATTCACTCTCTGAACACACTGTGTCAACGATGAAGCATATTTTTGAACAGAGTAATCACAGACTGGTTGAGTCTGGCAGCTTGTGTTCCCGCCCCCTGTCAAATTTGCACGAACACAAACTCAAACTCGCCAGCGAGTCAGGGTGTGTTGTGACACTACAGCTAAACCAAACAGGACATTGTGGTGTTTCTTGTTTGGGAGGAACTGCAGAAGAAGGAAGGAAGATTCATTAGATCTGCAAAAGATCTTCTGCCATCCTGTGATTCTATCTGTGCTTCTGCTTTAATCTAATCTGGACTCAAATGTTTGCAGTAACTCAGAAATGCATGCTCAGAATGT